ATTAGCAAATCGGGTAATGGCCATCGAACAAAATTCTCGCCAAGAGTTTAATGAAGAACTCAATGCTCCTAAGCCACAGGCAAAACGGACCATTGAAGAATACACACCAATAGGAATGACTTACAATGAAGCTTTTGACTGTCTTCACGATCAAGGTCAAGACCCTCCACCTGAAAAACGTTTCCCAATTGGGATCCAAATTCCTATTGTCGATACCATAAAGGTCGAGGTCACACTATCGAAAAGTGTCTCGCCCTCAAGGATCGTGTTCAAGACTTCATTGATTCAAGTCTCCTTCATGTTCCTCCGCGTGACAAGAAGGTCAAGATTAGTAACAATAGTAACAGTGGTTGTAAAGGGAAAAAGAACGACTATCCTTCTTCTTCCGGAAACACCTACTCTAGTAATAGTGTTGGTACTTTCGACCTTAGTGAGATCCTAGCCATGGGTAATCGAAAGCAACCGAAAAGGGAATTTACCCCTATTGGAATTAGCTACGATGATGCTTTCGATCGACTCCATGCCAAGGGAATCATTACTCCCATTGGACCTATTCAAGATCCCCCACTTGAGAAGAGATCGCCTATTTGGAATCCAGACGAACACTGCAAGTACCACCAAGGTAGGGGTCATGCTACTGAGAGCTGTTGGAAGCTAAAGGAGGATATCCAACTTTTGATTGATAATAACAAGCTTCCCATACCTCCAGTTAACAAGAAGAGCAAGTGGTGATAAAGGAAATAACACAAGACAAGAGGCAAGCTTCAACGACAAGATTTCGTGACCTCTTTTTTCTATTTTTTTTTATTTACCCTTTCCCCAATAAGTCTAGCATAGGCACCTTTTTATTCTCCTTAGATTTATTTTGTAGGATCATTATATATTTTCCTTTAATAAAATGAGCATTTATTTCCTTATATATGATCATTTCATTTCATTACAAAAAAAAAAACAAAAAAAAAAATCCATGTCAAACTAAGCCCAAGGTATACCAATGATTTGAGGCACCCTTTGTAGCCACATCATGTCTCCTTTCACCTTTCTAATTTACAACCCTTTCTTCATAAACCACTTTGACCTCGTCTAATGATAGACCTTTCTTTTTTCAACCCACATCTACCTAACCTTGGGATGGGATGGTGTGTAACTTATGCAATCTCAAAATCTTGAGTGATTTCAAAATATCAAAATAAAAATAAAAGCAAAAAAATAAATAAAAGTGTACAAAAGGGCAAGTGTTCCAACATCTTTGATATGAAAATATCTTCGATAAGAACACGTCTCAGATTGCGTCTCTTATCGAGTGCTCGGTACCGTGCCTGAGAAAAATGAATGCCAAGATAGAACGCATGATCGGGATTGCCCACACTTGCAAAAATAAAATAAATTCTAAAGCAAAAAAAAAAGAGATCTAAAAAAGAGTAGATACTCAAGCATAAAAATACAAAGATTCAAAAGCAAGGTTGCACACCTTGGGGCTTGTCTAGGGTTTTGAGCCTTTATCCCCTTCTTCTATAGCCTTTAGCCTAACCATGTTACAACCCATAAAAAGACCTTTTTGAGGTATACACACTTGTGCGAGGTTCGGCTAGAGCTACGTTCGGCCTGATTCCTAATGGATACGTAGGCAACCTCACATCGAGGTGCGGCCGTAATAAACATGCGTTCATATTCACTTTCACACACTTACACCACAATCATATCAAGGGATCTCCTATGCTCATCCCTATTTTCTTAGATCTAGACTTGGGGGCTTCACCCCTACATCATTAGCTTACCTAGCCTAAGAGTCACCACCATTTGACTCTTCTTGAAACAATATCTTTCCACACACTTAGCCCTTGCGGCCTAACTTTAGTGTCACTATCACACACATCACACATACATGACTAAATATACTTCCCTTAGGAACCCTTTGTCATGAAATCTCTTAACGCTGAAGCATGCCTTGTCACATCACTCATCAATCACAATTGTCATTGCATCACAAAGTATGAAGTGCTTAGCCTCCGTGCCTAAGTTACCCAAATACTTTCATCATGGAGTCAACAGTTGAGATGGCCTAGGATGGATTAATCCTTGCACCTTGAGAGATAATATCAAACAACATTTGAATAAGCTCATTCCACATGCAAAACTTCGATTCCTTTTTCGCGTCTTTCTTTTTCGAGATAAAGTCGGTACCCTCCACAAAAATAATGGAAATTTTTTGTTTTTTTTTCATTTTCGAGTCGCACAATCGTAATACAATGCACACACGGGTCACGAGTCACACGTATCATTTCACTTCGAGTCGAGTCAACCTCGAGTTAGTCAATCACAAAGAGTCAAGTTTATACCTTAAGTCGTGTCAAGTCAATGAGTCAAGCGACGTTAAACTTAGGTCAACCCTAAGATAATTTAAAGCCTTAGGTCAACCCTAAGATGATTAAAGAATTCGGCAAAGTTCTATAGTAAAAAATAAATACAGGTGCAGCAGAATAGGGAAGACCCTATTCTAATTCTTGGCGCCAGAGATATTTCAGCAGCGACAGAGCTCGAAGCCTCTCAGAAAGGTGATTTCGACCTCATACAGCAATTTCGTGTTCCTTGGTACGCTAGTTAGCCCCTATAAGCAATTTGACATGATTAAGTAGTCAGTTTGATTACAATCACAATAAGTGGTCGACCTGATGAAAGATCGTCTCACTTAGCTTAAAGCGCCTAAGAATTGGCTCATCACGGAAACACCGACATACTGGTTTAGCGGAAGCAAAGTTCAGGCGAGCTTTAGAGATCGACAAGTGTTGGTCTTCGGAAATTTTTTCTTCAAAATATTATCGCAACAAACATTCAATCATCAAAGCTCTTTGCTCCAGAGACGCGTGGGCATATTATTCAAGCTCTTTTGTTCAGAGACGCGTGAACATCTCCATAAAAGCTCTTTGCTCCAGAGACGCGTGGGCATATTATTCAAAGCTCTTTTGTTCATAGACGCGTGGACAATCCTTTTCAAAGCTCTTTTGTTCAGAGACGCGTGAGCATCTCCATCAAAGCTCTTTGTTCCAGAGACGCGTGGGCATATCACCAAAGCTCTATTGTTCAGAGACACGTGAACATTTCCATCAAGCTCTTTTGCTCCATAGACGCGTGGGCATATCATTCAAGCTCTTTTGTTCAGAGACGCGTGGACATATCATCAAAGATATCCTATTATCAAGCTCTTTGTTCAGAGACGCGTGGACACATCATTCAGAAGAACATATCAAAAGGAAGCCCTTTGTTCAGAGACGAGTGAACATTGAAATAGCAAGGTGGCGTTCCCTAGATTGTGGAAAGTTGTCACAAACAACTGAGGATTGTTTCAAGAGAAGCAATCTTCGATAAATATTACCTAGGACGTGGAATATTATCAAAGCGAAGGAGGATCGTTTCAGGCGAAGCAGTCTTCTATATTGGAAGCAGTTACAGGCGTAGCGGTTTTCAAGCGGGGTGGCATTCTCTAGCTTGCAGGAGGTCATCAATTGGAGACAGATTCATAGGCATGTACAGGGGCAACAGGAGCAACATGAATAGGAGCTACAGGGGCCGCAACCTAATGACTTGCCGGAGTTGGACCCTTCCACACTTTGGTGCGTATGTGTAGACACCCATTTGTGTCTCCCCAAAACCAAACCCAGTGATGAGTACCTTTCACGTCGAATCATAATCGAATGAAGTGAAAGTGTGGAAAGTTTAGTGTTGCGGATAGTTTTAATTTCTTTTCTCTACTCTCTGTTTTTGAAAACTTATTTTAAGAAAACAGTGAATTCAGTTTGGTTGGTCCATGATATGGGTCCAATAGTAGTGTAGTTGGATGGGGCATGACAAGAGCTTTCCAACGATATATTATAAGCCCAATTCCGATGAATATTGAGGAAGTTATGGCCAATTTACCAAACTGGGCCCGGTTTGAGCCTTATATGTAGCCCAATGATCTAGGGGAGGGCCTAATATGATTTATCATTCCTAATGAAATTAGGAATGGTTTTAGTCTTCTAGATTCTTCAAGAAGGTTCTTTTCATTCCTAATTCAATTAGCATTGATAAATTGACTTTTGTTGACTTTTCAGAGTTTTAATTAAAATCAAAGAGCATTTTTGAGGGAAAGATACGATTTTATCCTCCTGTACAGAAAAATTTATCTGATTTTAGAAAACGCGTCAAAAACAAGATTAGCGCCCAACGCCATCCATTGACGCCTGGCGCTAGAATAACGAGTCCATTTGATTGAAAACATAGAAAATAGGCATGGTTTTAGCCATATAGGCCAAATTTGGATGATTTTGGATGAGTAAGGGTCGATAATTGACATATGTGCTTATTTTTACTAATTTCTATCCATAGGCACCTAAAATTATTTGATATTGGAATGTTAGAAGAAATAACGAGTCCATTTGATTGAAAACATAGAAAATAGGAATGGTTTTAGCCATATAGGCCAAAGTTGGATTATTTTGGATGAGTAAGGGTCGATAATTGACATATGTGATTATTTTTCTTAATTTCTATCCATAGGCACCTAAAAGTATTTGATATTGGAATGTTATAAGAGAGAACGAGTCCATTTGATTGAAAACATAGAAAATAGGCATGGTTTTAGCCATATAAGCCAAATTTGGATGATTTTGGATGAGTAAGGGTCGATAATTGACATATGTGCTTATTTTTCTTATTTTCTATCCATAAACACCTAAAAGTATTTGATATTGAAATGTTAGAAGAAAGAACGAGTCCATTTGATTGAAAACATGGAAAATAGGCATGGTTTTAGCCATATAGGCCAAATTTGGATGATTTTGAATGAATAAGGGTCGTAAAGTGACTTTTGTGCTTATTTTTCTTAATTACTATCCATAGGCACCTAAAATTTCAACCATATAGGCCAAATATGCAACTGAATAATCAAGAATAAGAAACCTTACCTTATATTGTTGGTTGTTTTTTTAACAATTTTTTTTATTATCTTCAATATTTTGTAGGAGACCTACCAGAAGAAGCTCGAAGAAACAAGGATTCAGGGGATTCAGAAGAGTCCCAATGAGTTGTACTGGGAGACGGTGGGTGGGCGCAATAAGAAGGGTCGTGTGAAGGGACTTGGCCAAAGTGCAGAGCTCTACTATGGCAACTGGATGGGTCGAGCTTCCCGTTCTTCACAGCAATACGTGTCGTCTGTTGATGTGTCTATTTTATATAGTATTTTACCCCCGTACCTTGGTCATAATTAGTAGTGTTTTTGGCTCTTTAGAGCCACTTTTATTACTAATTGGTGTTTTCTAGTGTTTTCGTAGATTTGGTTGACTTTTGCAGGGATTTAAACTTTTGAAGTATTTTCCCGAGATATTTTGGAGTAATCACGAACATTGAAGAAGCACGACCAGATTTTATAGCCCAGGACCGGTTAGAGCCATCGAACCGGTGATTAAGAGCTGGGTATAGGTGATACCGGGGCATTTAGACCGAGTATTCAAGACCGGAAGAGGAAACCCATATTGGCCCGAAGAATTGGAGCCCGATCGTAGTCCAAATAGTGGCCCAAGAGAGCTGCCCGGCCAAAAAGACTGGCGCCCGGAGGCGCGCCCGGCCGGGCAGGAGAAGCTAAGGTCGGCGCCCGGTGACGTGCCCGGCCGGGCGCGAGATTCAACATTGGAGCAAAAAGGTGCGCCCAATTGGGCGGTGCCTCACCCGATCGGGCGCGTGTAATTATTAGGAGACGATTAGCGTCGTTTTAGTTTGTTTTAGTTTAGGATTTGTAATACGATTTTAGGATCTCTCTCTATCTCTCTCTCTCTTACTCTTTCTTTACTCTCTTAATTGTTTTCTTAGACTCTCTCTCTCTAAAACCTTTGTTCTTAATCCACTCTTAATTCCAGATTTGTTTGGTAACTATTTCTCTTCTCTTAATCTTAGTTGTTTATTTTATTCCTTTAATCATGCTTTGTTTTATTGCCTTGATGAGTTTAGTTTTTAATTATGTGTGAGTAGTTTTATTTATAGGGTTTATGGGGATCCATAAATAATATGAAGGGGTAATTTATTGTTGTTAATTATTAATGCTAGATTAATTTCCTATTGATTGATTTAATGCTCTGTGACTAGATTAGGCCTGATCTTTTTTGCATGAGTTTGACAATATTGATTCGAGATTCGACAGATGAGAATTGATGTTTAGGTCTAGTTTCAATAGACAGGTTAATTTATAAATGGTTAGGTCGAGATTCGAAAGATGAGATTTAATACCGGTAAATTAATTGTGTGATTATAATACGTAGCGAAAGCCCTTTATAATCTGATTAATATATGCATTGATGAATGATTATTATATTCTACCCTGGAATATTATTTATTGGTGAACTTATTCCCTAGATCCTTTTATATATTATTCTCCCCTTATTCTTAATCTTCGTAGTTTATTTGTACATTTAAATTCACATATTGGTTACCTAATAATCTAGATTATATTAGTTAATTTAGGAATAGAAAGACTTGTTTCCCTGTGGAGTTCGACCCTACTTCTCTATCTACTTTAGTTAGAGGACTTAGGTAATTACTTTTGATTAGGGGATACGACTTTACCCTGTCATCTGTCATTTCTCAGATGCAAGACCAGATGGAACATAGGGTGCAAGCTCTCCAAACTCAAATGGAAGCCGAGATGCAAAGGCGAATTGACTCCCGAATGGCTGAAATAGAGAGGAGATACAGGGAGAGTATGGATGAGATGATGAGTCGTTTCACCAACAACGACGCATGTTCCACCATTCATCCTCAGCATCGAGACCCAAGGGACGACCCGGGTAGTGGTGAAGCAGGCCAGGGTACCCAGGCGATTGCGTAGCTTAGCTTTAGTCTAGCAAAGATTCACTCTAACATAGCTTTTGTTTGGTATAGATACCAAAATATGGACTATCTTTTGTACTAGGACATAATTATTATATATATATGTAAATAAATATAATTTCGTAGGTCGGTAATTAATTTTTTTAAAACAACAGTTTCAGGTTTTGAAATGCATTTTTTTACAGAAATTTCTGGCAGGCTGGAAGGTCTTTCCGACGGAATTTTTCCTCGCAAACAAAAAACTTCCGACGGAATATTTCCTCACAAACTAAACATTCCGACGGAATAGTTCCTCACAAACTTAAAATTCCGACCGAATATTTTGTCGCAAACTAAAAATTCCGACGGAATTTTCTGTCGGAAAATATAATTTCCAACGGAAATTTTCCTCGCAAATAGAAAATTCCAACGGAATTTTCCGTCGGAAAATATATTTTGTGACGAAAAATTCCATCGGAATTTTTAGTTTGCGACGGATGTTTTTCCGTCGGAAAAGTGCGACGGACCGTCAGTTAAGGTTAATTTCAATTCCGACGAAGTTATTTCCGTCGGAAAGTAGGTTTACAACGGAAATTCCGTCGAAAAATGACCAATTTCCTACAAAGTGTTTTTCGACGAACGGTTCCGACGAAATTCCGTCGGAAACCTTCTTTCCGACGGATATTGCATAAGTTCCGACGAATTTTTTCCGTCGCAATTTTGTGCTGTTTTCTTGTAGTGACAAGGGAGGAAGCATTAGTCCACACCCTCATCTCACTAAAAGTTCTACTTAAATTGGCAAGCTAATGGGCCACCCTATTTCCATTCCTACCAACATGAGTAAAGGATAAAGAGGAGCAGCAACTAGCCATCTTACGAATGTCTTCAATTATCACTCTAACATCAGAAGAAAACTTTAACAAGCTTGTGGAAGAGGCTTTGGCAATCGACCTCCAGAATAAAATGCAGGAGAATGCAGGAGCCCAGCTTCAAGCGCAATGGATAAGGCATGTCTCGCAGCCATCGCCTCCGCAACTTCAATCTCAAAAGAGCCCACCTTAGTGCAGCACACAACAACCTTTACAGCACCCTGCCAATCCCTTATAACCGCCCCAGAGCCCACCAGATTGTTCGTAAAACACGCTGCATCAGAGTTAATTTTGTACACACCTAAACTCGGGGGAGACCATGACTGAATGCAGACACTCGAGGAGCCAATAGAGGGGGCATCAACCTCAGTAGAAGCCATGGAAAACTTACCGTCTCACCAACAAGACTTACAACTTTTAGGAAAATAGACTTAATGGGAATTGATTTTTGCTCAAAAACATAGGCATTTCTTTTCAACCTAATACCCCACAGAATGCACCAAAATAAATCCCACCAGCTCTTCTCTTTGAACAGGGAAAGCAGAGAATTAATCCAATCAAAAGCAGAGGAAGAGAGCGTATTAGAGACGTTATTATTAATATTTCCTATGAATAATATTTTGACAATTATACCTGTTGTAATATAAGAAGTATTTTCAAGGCTATATTTCTAAAATAAGAAGATCAAAAAGATGATCTTGAGAAAATGAAAGAGTACGGTGTGTCAGTGATGCAAATCACTGACTTGAAAACGAAATTCCGGCGAAACCGGGGTGCACTATTGTATTCGCCGGCACGTTCCCTAAGGTTAACACACCACTTCCACACAAAAGGCACTTTTGGGTGTAAGGTTGGAGCAAAGTAACTTATGCCCAATATAGAGTATGTGTTTAAGCAAGCTTGTGTTTGATATGTATTTCTTGTGTATCTAAAAATCAGAAAAACATCCTCCAATTTATAGAGATGAATGATAAAAGAAGATGAAAGATCATGGAGGAATCTTCTGTGAACAAAGAAAAGAAATAAAAAATATTATGGTGATTAAAACACCATAATCAACCTCTTAAATGGGGGGTTACAAGAAATCAAACAAGAAAAGGAATCCAAGGGAACCGTTGGAGTCCAACAGACAAACACGCGCCCGATCGGGCGGAGTTCGCCCGATCGGGCGGACACTCCCTTTTTCCAGATGTCTTCTCGCGCCCAGTCGGGCGGGGCTTGCCCGGTCGGGCGCCCAATCGGGCGGGGCTCACCCGGTCATGCGCCCAATCGGGCGACGGAAGTCTAGAATTTTACGACTCTTCTCGCGCCCGATCGGGCGGGTCTCGCTTGGTCGGGCGCCCATATCCGACCCTTTGAATTTCCTTTCTTTATTTCCAACAATACCTTCTAAATCTAAAATGTTTATTATTTATTTTCCCTTATTAATGTTATGTTTTATATAACTCTTAATAAAGTGTACGAACATTTATACCCTTAAATATATTTGTTTACATATTTGCTCTTATTATGTTGTCAACAACTAAAATAAAATAGCTCTCTAACAATGACAAGCTACGTCACGCGCGTCAGCTACCCTACTCCTAAATAAAAGTACAATTCAAATTTATACCAACACTGGAGCTCTTTTCACTGTTTATTAGAGGACCTTAGTCGTGTGACTTGCCGACTTAGGCTAGGGTCTTTTTTTTTTTGGTACTCGTTTGTTTTGTTTTGGGATGTTATGCAGTTATGCCCCTTCGCACACCATCATAAAATTAAAAAATGAGAGTGAGGGATAGCTCAAGTGGTTAGAGCTTCCCTCCCAATTTGGCAATTTTAAGAGTTTTTGGGATAGATTTTCACCCTTATCCTTGTTTTGATAATTAAAATTTTACCTACTTACCCCTGACCACCCTAAAACACAAAACTAAACCAGTCGTTTCTTTCTTCAAACGAACGCTTACTCATCCTCCATTGAACTGTACTCAGAATCCTCCATTAAAGCGGCTACTGAGCTTTCTCTCTCTCCATTGAAACAAGTTTTGAGGTAAGTTTTTCCTGAAGAATCGAACATCAATTTCTCTATCTAGGTTATAGTTTCACACTATCTATGATTTAACTGTCAATATACTTGAAAGGTGGGCATGGGCCGTGCCGGCACGCGGGCGGCACGAGCCCGGCACTATTTCGGCACGGCACGGCACGCCGACCCACTTGTGGGCCGTGCCGTGAACACAAATATTGAAAATTGGCACGGCACGGGCACGATCGTTGGCACGCCGACACTTTATTTATATGACATATATATATCAATTTTGTATAATATATATATTTTTAAAAATAAAAAAATCGTGGTGGCCCGCGGCACGGCACGGCCCGCCAAGCACGTGGGTCGTGCCGTGCTGTGGGCTAGGGTGTGCCAAAACTTGGCACGACCCGCCACCAAGCCGGCACGGCACGACACAGCACAACCCCACCCCTGCACGGCCAAGCACGACCCGCGACGGCACGGCACGGCACTATGCCCATCTTTAAGCTAGTGAGTGTCATCATATGTGATTTATGTGAATTATAGGGGATGAATTTATCAGCTTTTTTGATTTTGGAATTCTGTTTAACTATTTCAAAGTAAAAACATTCTGTCAAATCGCCGAATTTATACGATTGGAGGCTAGTGAGTGACAAAATCTATATTTGAAATAGTGAAACATGTTAAACGATGTCGTAGAGTTTAAGAATGAATAAAGAATGGTGGCGAAGCTCAATGATGAACCGAGCATGGAAGCAGAGGTAGAAGTACAAGGGGAAGAAGAGGAGGAAGAGGAGGGTTGGTCTAGAGGTGTTCGTGAGAAGTTGTGGAAGAGGCTACAAGGATGGAAGGGGGGAATGTTATCTAAGGCGGGTCGGGAGGTCCTGATTAAGGCTGTTGTCAAATCTATCCCAACCTACACGATGATTGTGTTCAAATTTGCCTCTTCATTTTGTGATGAGTTGCGGTCATTGGTTTCTAATTTTTGGTGGGGACAAAAGAAAGGAGAGCGCAAGATTCATTGGCTATATCATGGCGGAAATTGTGTGAGCCAAAGGTAGTGGGAGGCTTGGGGTTTCAAGATTTTAAACTTTTTAGTGCAACTCTTTTGGCGAAGCAAGCGTGGAGATTGATTAAGTTCCCGAATAGTCTTATTGCAAGAATGTTGAAGGCTCGGTATTTTTAGCAGGGTGATTTCTTATGCTCCGAGCTCGGGGTAAACCCAAGCTATACCTGGCGGGGTATATGGGGGGTGCGGTGGGTGATTCAGCGGGGTATAATGTGGAGGATTAGGGATGGATTGAATGTTCCGGTGTGGGGTAGTCCTTGGGTGCCAAATACACAGTCTAGGCAGGTAATATCACCTTGTGAAGAGACAAGGAAGAGTATGAGGGTGTGGGATTTAATCCACCTCCCTATAGCCACCTGGAACGTCTCTCTTGTGAAGGAGATTTTTTTACCGTTCGAAAGTGAAAGAATTCTCGCAATTCCCCTGAGTTTTAGGCTCCCTGATGATGAGATTTGCTGGGACTTGGAAAAAGGGTGATTTCTCGGTTCGGTCAGCTTATAGAGCCATTTTTTGCGAGTGCGATGGTGTCAATGATGCCTCGGGTTCGAGCTCCTCGACCTTGTGGAACAAAATCTGGAATGTGAAGACCTTGCCGAGAATTAAAGTCTTCATGTGGAGAGCTTGCAGGGGTGCTTTGCCTATGTTACTCGGCTAAAGCAAGCGCATCCCAAATAGAGGGGCATTGTGTAGCGTTTGTGGGGCGGAAGAGGAGTCCGAGCTTCATTGTATCAGAGATTGTGTTATAGCTCGATTGATTTGGGATTGCTGTTATTTAAAGCTGGAAGAGGATGGTTTTTTCACGAATTTGCAGATTGGGTACAAGCTTGCTTAGCTCGTTTGCAGAGGGAGGAGATTGGGCTATTCTTTACGGTCTGCTGGGTGGTTTGGTCAGCAAGGAATAAATGGATCTTTGAGGGTGAAGTCTGCAATCCTGCCATGTCAATGGAGTATGTTGTGAAGCTGGTACGCGAGGTGGAAGGGGAGACGATTGGGGAGAGGACTAGTGGGGGGCCTGCTGGTGCAAAGTGGAAACCTCCGAGGCAGGGGCTGCATAAATTAAATGTTGATGGGGGTTCTGTTGTAGGTCTTGGTGCGTCTGTTGGAGCAGTCTTGCAGGATGAGAAGGGAGAGCTAAAGTTAGCAGCTGCGTGGACAGTTGAGGACAGGTGGGAGCCCATAATAGCTGAAGCGAAAGCAGTTCTCTTAGGGCTGTAGGTAGCTGTCGAGAGTGGCTACACAAAGCTTGAGGTGGAGAGCGATAGTCGAGGATTAATGACTGCCATTAAATCACAAGAGAAGGGTGTCAGTAGCCTTCATTAGATATTGGATGATATTTATCATGTATCTAGCTTTCTTGAGTATGTGTCTTGGAATTTTGTTCGTAGGGAGTGTAATAAGGTAGCCCGCGAGTTAGCTCATTGCTTGCCTTGGGGTACTAGTAGTAAGATATGGTTGTCGGATTTTCCGAGTTGTATCATGTCTATTATTCACAATGAATCCCATATGAATGAAAGCTAGAGGCCTTTGAGGCCGTTTATCAAAATATATATATATATATATATATATATATATATATATATATATATATATATATATATATAATTGTGAACTAGACCCTCACATTATTACTGGTTGGTGAACATGGGGAATTTTTGGTTTTTTTTTTTTAAAAAAAAAAAAAATTTAAACTAATTATATCAAAATATTAATGCATTTAATAACCGTGACGACCCTGACTAGGGATGGCAACGGGTCGGATCTGGACCGAATCCGGATGGACTCAGATCTAGATCCGTTTTTGTAACAAGGATCCAGATCCGACCCGAATCCGTCGGGTCTGGAAAATGAGATTCGAATCCATATTCGACGGATCCAACGAATTCGGGTCCAAAATAGGTCCAATATATCTTGTTTAATTTTTTGCAATAAATGTAATGTTTAGGTCAAAAAATGCATTTCAAACTTTCGTCAGGTTATTACGTGCAACCTAAATTAAAGTTATACAACTAATCAACCTAAAGTAAATAATCAATTTATACACTTATATTTTAAAATAAAAATTTTAAACAACGAAAAAAAGTACGATGTTACAAAAGAGCAAATGAAAAAACAACGATGATGTATTCGATATGAGCATTCAAAATTCATCTTTTGAAAGGGCTAATTTTTATCACTACTAACAGTCTAACATCATCTAACATTTTTCATAAAGAAACAAAAAAATTTATTTTTTTTAATAGGAAAATTAAAAAAATTGAGTTAACAGATCTGGGTTCGGGTCTAAGGGCCAGACCCGGATGCAGATCCGTTTTTTCTCTGCAGGAACCGGATCCGACGGGTCTTAAATTTAAAAACCTAGATCCATGGATCCGGGTCGGGTCCGGATCCAATGCCATTCCTAGCCCTGACGGGTCATAAGGGATTAAGAGATACATAGAATTGCTCTCTGTCATGTTAGTGAGATATCCATTGAAGCGCACTCAACGTTCTCCATTGAAGCGCAGTCGGCGTTCTCCGTTGAATCTAGTTCTTGTATCCCCCATTGAAGTAACTTCTGAGGTAAGTTTGTATTTGTTATCATCATATCAAATATCTCTGAAATTATGAGATCGATAATTGAATCAAATATACCTATAATTATGAATCAAATTGTATTGCACAACACTTTAATGTTAGGATTTAACTATGAAATCAGAGCCTGGGTGTCATCATATGGATTTATGTAAATTATAGGGGATGAATTTATCAGCTTTTTTGATTTTGGAATTCTGTTTAACTATTTGAAAGTAAAAACATTCTGTCAAATCGCCGAATTTATACGATTGGAGGCTAGTGAGTGACGAAATCTATTTATGAAACAGTGAAACATGTTAAACGATGTCGTAGAGTTTAAGGATGAAGAAAGAATGGTGGCGAAGCTCAATGATGAACCGAGCATGGAAGCAGAGGTAGAAGTACAAGAGGAAGAAGAGGAGGAAGAGGAGGGTTGGTCTTCAGATTCTGATATTGGGGAGGCTTTGGATTGGTTGGATTTAAAGGACATTGATGAGGGCGGTTATGAAGGCGGTTCAATTACCCTTAATGCTCGACGGCCTAATGCTCATGGAGGGGCATTGTCTAGGTCAAGTTCTTCAACACTTCAGCCTCTCTCGAATCGTACCCAGAAGTTTACTCATCACATCCGTCCTTCTCCTCTAGAGGTATATATATCCATGTATCCGTTGTATCCATAGCTTCATCTTCTGTTATTTATTTTTGAAATTGTTGGTATACATGCGAGTTCTTTCTTGATGATATGATTATGATTTATTGAATAACCTGCCAAATGGGTTCTTTCTCAAATGCTTATTTGAGGATTTGATAAGAAGAATTTATTCAAATGTTGTCTATACATCATAATCTATTTTGGAAATGGCACTAAACTTCCTATTAATTTGGGTTATTGTTATCCTACAACTCAACTCTTTTGTTTGAGTATTAATTTGGGGTTGATGGAGAATGGAAGGGGGATTTATTATTTGAGTATTTTGATTTATGTTTCCTTGCTTTCACAGGAATGGGAGGGCAGGACAAATGTTGGCATGTCCAACTCAGTCACTACTGCAATTCGTGAGAGTGTACGGGGGATGGCTATTGGTAAAACAAAGAACACGGAGAAAGCTGACCGTGCAACTGTTGAACAGGTGGGTATATTATGGTACTACTTTTTTTTATTTCTTGAAGTGATTTGTCCAAGTTTACCTCTTTTTGGAATTTTTTTTTAACATTTAAATATAGTCCCTTTCCTTCATATCAGGTGCTGTTTTTTTTTGGTGGTACCAGTGATGTAACTTCTGTTTAACATGTTATTTGGTGTTTAGGTATCACATGGGTCAACTGATAGATTTACTACCTCTGATTTAGAGCCTTGAAAAACAACCTATATGCTTCATTGATATGTTATAGCCTGCAATAAATTTGAATTAGTTTTATTGTCTGGTTTGCTGACATTTATGGTGAATACATGGAATGATAAAACAATTAATATATTGACTCATAGGATCAAGCCTCCATTCGCAATTTATTGGCTATTTTTTCATGGTGTGTATGTTTTCCCAGGAGTACAGCCTCGGTATGACAGGAAATAAAAACTGGTTTATATGTTACGATGTTATGCTAGACACTTAGATAGTGCTGGTAGTCAGGTACTAGGGATTTTGTTATGAAACACATTTTATATTGTAGACAATACTAATTCTTAGAGCTTTAGGTTCTATCTTTCCAGCTGAACTGGCAGAACGGACCCTGGCCACCCTGCTTTCAGTAGTTCACTTACATTTTATATATGTGTTTACATTACAAGAATTTCTGAGGATGGTCCTGTTGAATCAAATATAGCTGTTACACTAGTTGAAGGTTCGTTTTCTTCTCATCACACAGAAAATCAGCCATCATGTTACTTTGTTTTTTTTTTTTTGTTTTTAGAATGATAAGCCCCTAATATTATATTGTTGGATTATACTTGCAAAAACGCTGTTGCCCTGTTTTATGTAACCGCAATCCACAAAAAAGAACTGCTGCTCTTCATAAATATAGAAAATAATGCAAGTCTACAAACAGTCACCCCTGCTCCAAACTGTTTTATGAGTGCATTTTCTGATTCTTGTGCTTTGCTGATCTTGTTATTCTGTATTCTTAATATCTACATTCTACAACAATATTATTGTATACCAGGCTATTGACCCTAGGACTCGGATGGTTCTCTTCAAGATGTTGAATCGTGGGGTTTTTAATGATATAAATGGATGTATATCAACTGGGAAGGAGGTAAAATATTTTTTCATACTCTTAAATGTAGGATATCATTTATATCTAGATTTAACCTTTTTTTGTATGTGTAATGTAACAGTTAATTATATGATTATGCTTTTTATTTTTGCAGGCTAATGTTTACCATGCAACAAAATCTGATGGTGATGAATTAGCTGTTAAAGTTTATAAAACTTCAGTTTTGGTGTTTAAGTAAGTAAAATGATATTTCGACTTTTTTTCATTTGTGAATGATCTGACATGTGAATGCTGAGAAATGTCAGTTACTATTTATTTGGGGTTTCTAGATTCTAGAAAGATTCTTGGGCTCTTAGGTGTAGTCTGTATGTAGATGGTGATGACTTAATTGCATAATATGCATTAGGGACAATTCATGCTGAACCAACTACTTGGGCATATTCAAACAAATAAATTTTGATTGAGTATGGAGCTTTTTTTGCTTTTCATACTCTACTTTTTATTAAGAAAAAGTCAGCAAGTATAAGAAAAAGTGGATAATGTAAGTGAATGTAGAATGATGGATAAGTTGTGGGGTTAGAGGGATAAGATGGACAAGAAATAAAGTAAAATTATTTAGTAAAAAGCAAAACACATAAATACATAAAGAATATGGAGGGTGTATATATATTTAAGGCCTTGCTTTTCATCAACCTCTGCTTCATAAACCTATCATTTTTATTTTTGAGTTACCAAACCTTGAATAGTTGAATTCTTAATATATTTGTATTGTTTTAATAACTGAAGCAAATTATATAACTATTGATTTTTTAAGAAAGTATCAATAACTATCACAAAGAGGAATAAAACAAAGAGGTCACAAATTTACAATCTTGAAAGAATACAAAGATACCATTCTTCTATTTGTTTGCTGATTTCAGCTCATTGCATTTTCCCCCTTTTCTAAATCAGGGATAGAGATAGATATGTACAAGGTGACTATCGTTTCAGATATGGGTATTGCAAGCACAATCCTCGGAAAATGGTCAAGACATGGGCAGAGAAAGAAATGAGGAATCTTATAAGGTACTTTGTTAATCATATTCTCGACTGGAGATAGTCTTCATTATGTTCGAGTGCTTAGTATGATACAATTCTGGCCAAAACATTTTGATTGATGCTGTATGGCTTGATTACAAATTCATAGTTCTTCTGGATGGTAAAAAATCTGTGTATATCTGTGGCTATGTGAATCTGTAGGTTCCGTATGCTAGTCAAAGCATTCCATCCAATTTGTTTCTATGTTATCCCCACCAAAATTTTAAGAGTTAAAAAATTGCCAATTTGCTATTTTGCTGACTGCTACAACAGGCTTGGTCAATATTGTATAGAATTATAGATTGTTGCAACTCATAATTGTTAACACATGGGAAAATTCATGAAATAATTGAAAGGTTATTGTGTCTGATTCGTGCTAATTTTTAAAATTTGTTAACTCAAAATTGTTAACTCAATACAGGCTGAAAGCAGCAGGATTACGCTGCCCTACACCTATTCTTTTGAGACTCCATGTTTTAGTCATGGAATTTATAGGTATTTCATTAAATTTCCCTTTTTATTTATACATAATTACATTTAATTCCAGAAATTGTGAGTTTGCTCTCCCTTGGGACTGATTGTCTTTGCTTCCAAGTATGACTTTTATGAGGCCAAAAATTGTACTTCCTCCGTCCCCGAAAGAACGACCCTTTTGGGTTGATTTCGTGGGTATTAAGAAAATTAAATAAAAAGAAGTAAAAATATATTGGAAAGATAAATTTACATGGGGTGTGTAAAAAAGTAGAGAGAGAAAGTATTAAAGTACATAAAAAACAAAATTTATATGGGAAGCTAATTTTACACAAATATTGTTGTAAATTGGTGGGTATTTTAATGCTAATAGGTCGATCATTTTGGGACTAAAATTAGGCCAAAAGGGTCGAACTTTTGGGGACGGAGGGATTACGTATTATTCTGTGTATTTGTTGCAATTTTGAAACATCCTGTGACTGGAACCTCCTAGGAATTGTTAAAATTTGCACATATAAACAGTATAAAAATTCTAAAAAAATTATCCTTGTGTGCCTTAGCTAGGGGTGAAAGAAATTCGGTGTAAAACCAAACTGAATCGAAAACTGAACCGAACAAGGAAATTTGGTTCGTTTTTTGGGAGGGTGGTTCGGTTTCGGTGTCAAAAAAAAATTAACGGGAAAATTAAAAACCGAACCAAACCGAATTAGAGGCCCAACACTAAAGTACCCTAGGTATATAATGCAAAAAAAGAAAACCCTGATTCCTCTCCGCCTTTCTCATTCTCAACCATCACTCTCTCAGTCTCTCTCTCCACTCCTCTTACTCTCATGTCTCCTCTCCGACCACCGTCCAGTACACCAGTCGACCACCGTCCACCGACAACTTTCTCTCTCTCCTGTCTTCTCCTACTCTTGTTAAGGTATGCAATTTGTGATTTTAATTTGCTTATTATTTTCACTTGTGATTTGCGATTTTAGTTTGCTCTGCTTAAATCGTTGCTACTTGTGAATTGCTTATTATTTTCATTTGTGAATTGCAATTAGTTTGTGCTACTTGCTGTCATTTAATAAACCTCTTGATTTTTATTGCCGTTGTCCTTTATCCTCGTTATAAGCTTGATTGTGTTGAGTGGATGATAAGTGAAATTTATGATTCTATTGTTGCATCAAAGTTGGTTACTAATGTGAAAGAAGCTTTGTCTAACTCTATTTTTCTATTTTTGCCGTATCCTCCTCCAAATGTGAAACAATAGAATCATAGATTGTCAACTTTGATGCAACAATAGAATCATAGATTTCAGTTATCATCCACTCAACATAATCAAGCTTATAACGAGGATCAAGGACAACGACAATAAAAATCAAGAGGTTTATTTTTTCTGGATCACCCCAATACTTTTCATATTTATCTTTCATTCTACAAGCCATAAGACACATATCCGGATCATCAATTGACACCAAATTTAAACAAATTTGAAGTGACATATAAAGAGCCAGTGACATGCATGGTCAAATCATAAAAGGCTTGCAGAAATTCAGAAAATCTTCTCACATTATTCCAATTATCAACATCAGGGCTACCATTACCATCCCTCTCAGTCAACTCAATTACATAGTGAGGGTCTTGCTCAGAATACCTCTCAAAAGCATCCTCAAGTTCGATAGCAGCATTCAACATCAAATAGGTGAAGTTCCACCTAGTGGGCACATCAAGGCACATTCCCTTTTTGTGTTGATTTCTTCATTTACGACACATTTTTTAAACCTTTGCAACGTAGCAGGAGATTGTTTGTTTGATAAACCTGACAACATGCCTTACACGTTGAACAATGTGTGCAACACAACGCATGTGAATGAAACGACCCTTAAGAACCCCAATTTTCCATCCATTCATTTTCCTTCTCATATACCCAATTGCAGTATCATTTGAGCTAGCATTATCAACCGTTATACACATGAATTTTTCAAGCCCCCAATCAAGCAAACATTTTTTAATTTCTTTGCCAATATCATCACCCTTATGACTAGAAATAGGACAAAATTCAGATTTCTTTTGTGTAATTTCCAGTAATTATCAAGTGGACAGTCAAGCACATGTAATGGATTTGTTGTACAGAAGTCCATGTATCAGTGGTTAAAGAAACTCTTGAATTACATTTCTTTAACACATTTTTCAGCTTTCATTTCTCAGTTAAATAAGTTTCAAAACAATCTTTGGCTACTTTAATTCTAGAAGGAACATTAAATCTAGGTTCCATTATACCACAAAAGTGTCTAAAACCTATACCTTCAACAAACTTAAATGGAAGTTCATCAACAATTACCATATACGACAAAGCTTTTCTAATACTACCAGCATCAAATTTGTGGTATGTCAACCCACTAGTACCACCAGCAGCACTTGGTACTTTAGCACGTTTGAATGAAAACAAACTTTGTTTTGAATCTTTAGGGGTGTTAAAGGGATACTTACGACATCGGTTAATATGAGCCCATAACACACTAGTGCCGTTTTTCTTTGCCCCACACTTGTAGCTCATCCCACAATACTTGCAAGTTGCCTGCCTTCCAGAAGGTAAATCTTCTTTAACAAAATGCTCCCAAACTTCAGACCGCTCTTTCATCCTCTTCCTTTTTGCACCTTCTTCTCTTTTCTTACTAGAGACCTGGTGAGTCATTGACACCCAGATTGGTTGCCATTGGCCTAGGACATAAAAAACAGTAGCATAAGAAGACTAGCAGAAAAGCAGACTAACACAACAAGTAGCACAACAATAGCAAAGCAGACTAGCAGTAGTACAGTAATTAAGCATTAGCCATTTAAAAAGACTAGCTGACCAATAGCAAAGCAGTAGCACAAACTAATTCCAAGTATAAGAAGACTAGCAGAGCAATTGAACATGCAAGTAGCAGATCAGTTAAGCAGAGCAATTGAACATGCAGTAGTAGAGAAATTAAGCGATTGAGCAGTTGAGCAGACTAATTCCAAGTGTAAATTAAAAAGACAGTAAGTAGCACAAACTAATTTCAATTCACAAGTGAAAATAATAAGCAATTCACAAGTAGCAACGATTTAAGCAAAGCAAACTAAAATCGCAAATCACAAGTGAAAATAATAAGCAAATTAAAATCGCAAATTGCATACCTTTAACAAGAGTAGGTGAATACAGGAGAGAGAGAAAGTTGTCGGTGGACAGTGGTCGACTGGTGTACTAGACGGTGGTCGGAGAGGAGACATGAGAGTACGAGGAGTGGAGACAGAGAGTGATGGTTGAGAGTGAGAAAGGCTGAGAGGAATTACGGTTTTCTTTTTTGCATTATATACCTAGGGTACTTTAGTGTTGGGCCAGGGGTTATTTAGGGTTGGGCCTCTAATTCGGTTTTTCATTTTCCCGAACTGAAAACCGAATTTTAATTTTTTTTGACATCGAAACCAAACCACCCTCCCAAAAAACCAAACCAAATTTCCTTATTCGATTCGGTTTTCAGTTCGGTTTGGTTTTATACCGAATTTCTTTCACCCCTAAATTTTACAGTGTATGTTTTTTGCCAAGTGTATGACAAGGGATGAATTTGATGAATGAGAGGGGTTATACATGGCATAAATGCTTTATTAGGAACACTCTTTAATACGAGTATAGATATGCAGCCAAAATTAATGCAGGATTATACATTTTTGTATATGGGAAGTGAAGGATATCTTTGTATTTGCACTCCAAAAGTTGTACATATATTCTGATCCATAATTCTTACAATGCCTTTGAACCATTTGCTTTTCAGGCAAGGCAGGTTGGGCAGCACCTCGACTCAAAGACGCATCTTTATCTCTTGACAAGTTGCGAGAAAGTTATGTGGAGGTAAAGCTTGACTCTCTCTTATCTACCCCCTTTCCCTCCCTCCCTCCCTCCCTCCACAAAATGAACCAAAAGCTGATAATGATCTTTCTAATCCTGTAGTAGTGTACTGTATCATTTTTGCTTTCTGTTACTGGTCATAAATGGTATATAGCTATGATTATTAAAAACTACAAATGTTCTTGCTCAATTATTTTTTCTAGTACAGCATTGACCACTTCATTTATGGGTTCTGTTATATTAATCAATAATTTATTATCTTTTATATTGACATTGAATGTATGACACTTTACTTTTAATGTGCCTGTTCTGTTTCAAGATTATTACAGCAATGCGGACACTGTATCAGAAGTGTAAACTGGTACATGGGGATCTCAGCGAGTATAATATACTGTATTATGAGGTACGCTTAAATCATGCTTAACTTTGAATGTCTACACCTCTGTGAAACAAAATTATATCAAATGTACATGGATTGCAGGGTCACTTGTATATTATTGATGTCTCGCAATCTGTTGACCTTGATCATCCTCATGCACTTGATTTCTTACGTGAAGATTGTCTTCATGTTTCTGTAAGTAATATAGCTGTGATTTCTTTTTGTAAAACTTGTAGTTTTTACCCCCTTTTTTTCACTCTCAAGTAAAACTTTTTGTTGAAATGCAGGATTTCTTTAGGAAAAGTGGTGTGGCTGTGATGAATATCCGAGAACTTTTTGATTTCATTGTGGATCCAACCATTGCCGATGAAGCAGTTGATACTTATTTGGAAGAGGTATACAAAGCGTCTGTTGCCACTGTCATTGTTTTAATATCTATCCTAATGCATTTTAACTTTTGTTGGTTTACTAAATAAATGTCGCAATATTTCTCAGGCACAACAAAAGATTTTAGCTAGAGGGGATGTGATGTCTGCTGAGGAACAAATTGCAGACTCTGTATTTGTTCAGGTAACCTTATTTGTTAATGATCATCATATGACGTTTGTTTACCCACAATCTATCCCATAATGCAGGCACATGCTTTTTGCATGCATTTCCTTGGTGTTTGAAATGGAAGATCACTTTCTCTCTGTTATTCTCATCATATTATGTCTGTTTTATTTGCAGTCATTCATCCCAAAAACATTAGAACAAGTCAAAGATGCTGAGGAAGATGCATTTCGATTAACTAGTGGGAAGGATACAGGTGATATGTACTACAAAACCATCACTGGACTCAAGTCGGCACTAAGTACAACTGCACAGAAAGACCAAAAGAATGAGAATCAAGTAGCAGCTACTCATTCTGATGTGAGTGTTAGCGAATCAGATTCTGAAGATGAAAGCGAAGATGAGGTTGGAAGTTCTGGTGAATTGGAAGGGAAGGAAAGCAAGCTGTCCCCGGAAGATATAAAAGCTTCCAGGAAGGAGAACAAGAAGAAAGTTAAAGAGGAGAAGAGAGAAGCTAGGAAGAACAAAACCCCGAAAGCTGTTAAGAAGAGAAAAAAGAAGCTTTCCAAATCTCACAAAACAAGGTAGTTATATTCTAGATACATGAACATAGAGCAAGTTTTGTAGAATTAGTCGTCCTGAAGAAAAAAGAACTAAACCTGAGATGGAATATACCAGTTATTATTATTATTATTAATTTTCAATTTTGGCTAACATATTTGAGCTGAAATTTGTGTTTGTTTATTGTATGATTCCGCTGCTATTACGTGATTAAGTATTTTGTATTTGATTGGCAAAACTTACTAAATTTGAATGTTACTCAATTGAATTTGGGTAAACTTGTAACTTTGAATTAAGAAGTACATCAAAATCTAACATTTCGTATTGTAGAGCTCTTTAAAAATTTCATAATTTGCACAGGGGTGAACAACTGAACGTAATTGATGGCATCAGATAAATAAAAAGATCAAACATGTTTGAAGGAAAACTAAGAGGAAACCTAGATATCAAATTAGTGGGGTTGGGGGGGAAATAGAATTCCAAAGGTGTAGATGTGCAGCTTTAGAGTTTAAGTAATCACAAGCCTAATTAAAACGCAAAAGAGATAGTCCTTTCTAGGTTGACCTGACAGTTGGGTCGTTTAGATTGGGGGCGGGTATTTTTGGCTCAATTGATGATTGGGTAAGGTTAGATTTCTAGTGAGTAGTTCGAGTCAAGTTCATATCGTGTCATTTCAGAATTTTTAGGTTAGGTCGAGTTTTGGTTTGAGACTCCGGATCAAATAGTTCAAATTGGGTCATTTAAGATCTGGTCGATTTGGTTTAGATTGAGACTTCAAGTCAAGCTCAGATCGTGACATTATCATTGTTATAGTTCAATTATTGTAAATATCCAAACTTTGTAGTGAAAAGGTGAGGCTATTTTTTCACTTTTCTTTAATTATTACTATTACTAGATAGTAGAGGCGGGGGTTACAAATGCTAACACTGAAAATGGTCCAGTACAATGTTGTTAAATTGTCCCTAAATTTATTTTTTTAGTTTATAAAAACTCCCTACGAATGTTATTAACATTTTTTTTAATTAAATTATATACTTTATAATAAAATTGAAGATTAGATTATTGATTATTAAGTTTTCTCTTTATTTGGTTTGAGTAAATTTCAAAAGTTGGGCCCTCATATTTTGTAATAGTTTCACTTGGGGGGGGGGGGACTGTGTGATTGACCATCTTACACATGCTCAAAACCATGCATACTGGATAGAGTAACAGTCATGGATGCAAATTAAAACTGCTTAGAACACGTTATAATCGATTAGATCAAAGATTTGTTATAATTCAACATGTTCTAAGTACCGTTGGCCACACATTTTAAGGAACAAAGGAACCCCCATTTCGCTAATTGAGCTTCCTCTATATTAGCAATCGAGTAATCTCTAAAAAACTAACCAATTAACCGTTGTAATACCGACGATGTATTCGTATACACTAACGAAATAATCCTAGATGGTTGGCCATGTATAAGAATCTATACTATCTGTTCCTTATGAAGTTTATGTGCCACGTGACACTCTTCTCATTTAATTTGATATTATAAGATTTGAACCCATGAATTCAAGTTTAAACTCCAACGTGTAAACCACTAATCTATTACCATATTACTTGAAATATTAATAAAGATTTTTATCATGAAAATAATGCAGTAACTCGGGGCATTGCCCGAGCCTAACACTAATTTGTGTGTTACGGAGTAAAATGAGTAACTACCCCGTAATCTAAAAGGCGGGAATTTAATGAGAATACCGTTCAACCAGCAACTGTATTACCTCCGTACTAGTCTTATCCACAACAAATCCTTTTTCATCTTCACTCTCACTTCCCTCTTCCGACAACCATGAACACTCTTATAATTCTCCCAAATTCTCTCTCTTCATCTTCCCCAATTTTCGATTTCCCAAACCCTAAACCTAATTTCTCTCCTAAACTCCCTTCAATTTCCTCCAATTTCCACCTCTTCCGCTCTCTTCTCCTCCATCAAAACCCCTTTCTCAAGGTATTCCTCTTTTTTTACTCTGATTTTTCTCTTTTTTTCTTCCCTAATTTTGTCTTTCTTTTGATTTTTCAGATGAATCGAGCAATTAGTTTAAATAACTCAGTTAATGCGTCGGAAGATGAATTTTGTGGTGATGATTTGGTAATTGAAGCGTCTCTTACTAGAATTCTTCCACCTGCTTTGACATTGGAGCATGGAGTTGTTGCATTGAAGGATGCACTTCAGGAATTTAAGCTTAATCCTCCGAATTCGGCTAGTGGTTTGATTAGATTTCAGGTATTTTTAGTGTTTTGTACTATTCTTTTAATATAATGGAATTTACTCCGTTGAATGTTGATGGCATCAGTAAAGCATTCCGTTGTTGTACGTCCCAATCTAGTTGTCACATATGCTTTCGCCACAATTTATGATTAATGAATGAAATGACCTTAGATAGAAAAGGTTTGCCTAAGAGGTATATGCGGCAACAAATTTGGGACTGTGAGTAATTATATTGTTGATGACACCAATAGGAAAAAAAAAAAATCGGAGAAAGTAATAAAATGGCGCTAAATTGAGTGTTGCAAGTTATTTTGAATCGGGGGGAGTTAATTTGGTTTTTTGCACAAGGAATCGGATTGCTTGGAAGGATGGTAAGACATACCTAATATCTGTGAGTTGTTCTAGTAAAGGGAGTTAAACTTAAAGGAGGTTATCCTATCATGTTATCAAGTTTGTTGTTTTATATCTATTATAAGAATATTTAATGTAAAATGTGGTTTATAGAGTTCATTTGGATAAAGATTCAACATTTGGAACAGTTAATGAGTTTTATTGGGGAGCCTTTTGTTTGGGTGTGAAGAGATTATATAGTTTTGAAATGGAGTGCCGCGTTAATCTGCTGTTAAGCTGTAAATGATGCATTTGGGTTCTAGTTGCAAAATTTGAAAGCTACATTGTTTTCTTGGTTTCTTTGGTTATTGAATTTATAAACTAAGTTACAGGTAGCTGTGCCCCCAAGTGCGAATGCTTTGGACTGGTTCTGTTGTCAGCCTGAGGCATCGGGAGTGTTTCCTCAGTTTTACCTGTCCAAGCAATCAAAGAATCCAACTTGTGAGTCAGCTTTCTTTAGCAAGACTCATGGGGTTTTTGGAATTGGAGCTGCGGTTTCCTTTAGACAATCACCTTCTAGATCTGATGAGTGGAACTCGTTTAGAAGGTAAACTTCAAATATCTTTTTGATTTATGTTTCTTGAAATCTTTCAGTATTTAGTTAACAATTTATGTACAATTGGTTTAAGTTTATGCTATGTACTGTTCTTCTGCCCTAGTTGATAGCTCTGAGAAGTTTCAGCAAACAGCCCTAGTAAAAATTGGCTCTGAGCACAATATTTGAGGTGAATGATGGTTAAGGTTGGAGGTAATTTTCATTACTTGAAGAGAACTGGCTCCATGCCTTTGGTGTCATGGAATATATTGGACAAAGGTATTGTCGGTGAAATCATTGCTGAACCAAATGGCTTCCCAAAGAACATAGTAAATTAGTAATAGGAATAAGCTATTGGAGAATAAAAATTAATTGCCAGTTAGTGTGGATAGTACTGGTATTACCGTATTAATGTGGTGATTTCTGTAAATTGAAGGACGAGATTAATGATGATCTCGTATAAGATTACGTTGATGCTACATGTCCATGATTGTCTTTTATTTCTACAGCTAAGTCCACTATTTTAACAATCCTCTCTGTTAGGCAGCCATTTTAATGCGTCCCTTATAGCCTTTCTACTACATAGTGACAACTGGTAGCCACTAACCAGTTGAATCTTTGAAGCTGATGAAGCTGTTTCTGTGATACTGTAATTATTTTGTGTCAGACAGTAGGAGTACATGTAACATTAGACATCATGGTTTTTTTTTTTGTTTTTTTGTTTTTTGGTTTTTGGGTTTTTTTTTTTTGTCTGTGTGTGTGGGGGGGGGGGGGTGGGGATTTAATGTAGTGAGCCATTTCTTGTTCCTTTTTTTTGTACAGAGATTCTAAGGAGGAACATGTTTGGCATATGAAGAGATTCACTTGTTTCATGGATTAAAGAGAGAAAAACCATGCTTTTTGATTGTTAATCAGTTCACTCCACAAGAAGGTTGTGGCTTACAACGTTTGCCCACAAGTGGGTTGTGGAGTAGGTTTTTTTATGTCTTCTTTATAAGAAAATCAGCCTACTCCACAAGCGGGTTGTGGCTAACAACGATTGACCACAAGTGGGTTGTGGAGTGATCTTTTTGATGTCTACATTCATTCATCTTTTGACATTCTTCTTTCATCTCTTGGATTCCCTTGCAACCTCCCATTAAAGTGGTTGTTTATGGTGATTTAATCAACTTCTTTATGATTCAATCACCCCTTTGATGTCTAGATTCATCCTCTTGAAGCTCCATCCTTGCCTATAAAATTAGCTTGGTTATTCTTCATTGTGAACATACATCATACACAAAATTAGCTAAACACATTTGTTCTTTGGGCATAAGTTTACTTTGACTCCACCTCTTGGTCTAAAGTGCCTTAGTGTAAGAGTGGTGTGTAACCTTAGGGAACGAGTCGGCGATTACAATTGTGCACCCCGGTTGCGCCGGAATTCGTTTTCAAAGGCAGTGATTTATCACGCCACACCGAATTTCCTCTATACTATTTGTTTAGACCCCTCTTATTTACAACAAGAACAACTTTATGCATTCTGCAGTTTAATTTTTGGATACCTACATACTATGTGGTTTAGAGGATGTAATTTGCTTAGATTTTATTTTATTTATTGGCTTTTTTTAGTACTCTGCAAATTAGGTCAATGTTTAGAATAGGTGAACATTTAAGAATACATTGGGATTTTGAATTGAGTATGCTTGGACTTTTGTAAGTTTTGAAGGAATGAGATATACGTTATATTACACATCAAATACAGAAATTAATAACGTCTTTCCTTACAACTGCCAGTTCACAATCTTGATAAGCAATTAGATTGTCTACCATAAGTTTCAAGCTCTAAATGCATAATTTTTCTTTTCTGAGCAATAAGTACTCCTTCATAGATAGTTAGCAACTCTGAAAGAAGCAGGACCGTAAATGTTGGATCAATCAATCAATTAAAGCCTTAATCCCATAAGCGGGCTCAGCTAAATGAACCAAAGTGATTATTCCGTATAGTCATCCACAAAGATCTTCCTCTT